AGTTTTAAAAAAAATCACCAATAATAGCTCGTTACTTTGAAGGTAAAATAGGACCGTATAACTAGAAAAGGAGTAGGCTGCTGGTACCCGGGAAAAATAAAGAAATATCGAAAGGAAAATCCGTAAAAAAAGAAAAGCACAATACTGGTCTGGAGGCGGCCCTCCTTATTGCGCCGGAGAAAGATCCTCGGTATTGTCCGAGAGGGGGGCCGCCGTACTGTCCGGGGGGAGGGCCTCCGTACTGGCCAGGTGGGGGGCCGCCGTAACCCTGCTGGGTGGCCTGGCCGTAGCCCTGCTGACCGTAGCTCTGCTGAGGAGGGGGCTGATCGTAGTTAGGTCGGTCGTAGCTGGGCCGGTCGTAGCTGGGCCGGTCGTAGCTGGGTCGGCTCTCCTGGCGCTCTGACGGCCCGCTGCCGCCGCCCCCGTAGTAGCCGGCGCTCTCGCCACCACTGGTGCCGGTGTAGATGTGAGACTGGTTCTGGTCCTGACGGTAGCCGTATTCCTGGTTGCCATGGGACACGGGGGCAGATGCCAAAGGCTTCCGGTCCTCGCCCTCCATAGCGTTGAGGTCCCGCGTCTTGATCTGGTTCCAGAGCGAGTTCTTCGTCTTGCCGTGGCCGAGACCTCCGCCGCATGAGTGAACATCCACGGCACTGCGGCTACCGCTTGTCGTCTGTTGATTGAGGACGTGATTCTTGTGATCCTTCACCGACTGCGAGTTGAGCAAGTGGGAGAGCTCGTGGCGACGAGGGTGGCCATCTGCCCACTCGCGGACCGTCTTGAACATGTTGCTCTGAATTTCGCCGCGGTCATCACGCATGACGGGGTGGTGGAACGCACGGAGGACATCGTCGACGACCTCGTCAACAGGAACGCCGGGATTCTCCCATGCGTAAAGAACGCGCCTACGCTCTGTCAGTATTCATTTCATTCTTGATGAGTGAGGTGCAACCCACGGTGTGATGTATTGCAAGATGGTCGAGGCAACCCTTCCGGCGCACGAGTTCAAGATGTTGGTAAAGTGATCCTTGGACAACATGGAGTGCGTAGGATCGCTGCAGCGGGGGTTGTCCCAGGGCTCGAACTGGGACTTGGCGCTGGCGCCGATGAGTCCTGACGAACCTTCCTTGAGGACCTTGGACACCTGCTGAATGATGGGCTGGATGAAGGGCGCGAGCAGGCCGAGAATAAAGGCGGTCAGCGTCTCGCTGATGCGCTCAAGGAGCTTCTCCAAGCCAGGGACCTTGGCAATGAACCTGTTGATCGCCTTGACAATCTTGTCGCGGAACTGGAGAATGGGGTAAATTCGACCGGCAGTCTTGACGGGATCAAAGTCGGGGCTCATGCCGGGAATTTGGTTCACGTTGTCACGGGTGTTGAACGCCGACCTAGACCGCATGTTATCCTGCTCTTGTTGGGCAGACGAGGCTTGAAGATCCCTAGCTTCCTTCATGAAGCCATCGCCAATGCCAGGCAGCTGGCCGATGAGGGAGATGAAATCTCCAGACGACTTGGACGAGGAGGAGGAGAAGAGGCCCCTGTCCCTGGACCCGGATTCTTCGCCCTTGGTCAAGCTTTGCGCATTGATCAGAGCGGCGTTCATCTCGTCAACCTCGGACTGCGTGAAGTGATCGTTGGCTTCTCCAAGCACAGAGTGCAGGAAGTCGACGGCGCCGAACGTGCCGGTGACCAAGGGGTAGACCCGCTTGCCTCGAAGATTGATCTCAGTGTCAGTCCCGCAATGGGGAAAGACGCCGTGGTAGCCAAGCTCGCGAAGAGCCAGCTCACAGTAGTTGCTGTGGCAGGAAAATCC